TAATTTGTTTTTGATTTAGAAACTGTTGAAACCGTCCACGAAACGTGATGCATCAACTGAATCACTTAAAATCAATTATATATTTAGTAATGTGACAGACAAAATACTGCCTTGTTGGACACCCCGATCCTGATTATAATGGTCAGACAGGGTGAAACCCACTCGGACTTGAAATTGTCTGTCTGTTTAAAACGGTGATATAAAATGAGGTAAACGACCCTCAAACCAAAATCATGTTAATCTCTTTAGATGCCATGCTTCCAGGTAGTATCACAGGCTTTCTCAAGATCAAAGATATTTCATACTTCGTGTTATTTGTTCACTATAGCATTTTTAACAAAGGAATTTAGTCGTACTAAATGATCAATAGTTCTTTTCGTTTTATGAAAACTACATTGGATATTTGTAATAAGATTATTGGTTTCCAAATACCACACTCATCTATTATTTACCATTCGTTTCATGGTTTTGCGCACGCAACTGATTAACGAGATAGGTTGGTAATTTGAGGAATCTGTATGATCCTGCCACGGTTTTGGAATGGGGACTACAATGGCATTATGCCACGAAGGATGAATATTCCCTGGCGTCCGTATTATTCATATACTTATCTAAAAGTGTCTCAACACACGATTCAGGCAAATGCTTCGATACCTGATAATGGATATTACCCTCGCTTGCTGCAGTATCACACCAGCTTGCTCAGGAGCAGTATGAAGCTCATATAATGAAAGTACTTCGTTGTAATCTTCACCATCATCAAATAATTTTTTTTCTTTCCCTTTTGTTTCCGATAGTTTTGAAACTCAGGAACATATTTGACAATGAAGAATGTTTGGCTTGAGTTTCGCTAGTAATTTTAACATTACTCAGGTTATGAACTGTAGGATGTCGGCGAAAATATTTTCCTGCATTCTTCCTACACTCTCTTGCTTGTTTGCATTCGGTATTAAACCCTCGTTTACGAATATAAGGATTTGCAGAGGACTTAGGAATTGTTTGGTCAGCAATACCATTAAGTTGACTCGAAAACAACTGGATGGGATCTGGTACATTCCTGAAATTAGGGACAGTAGGGAAGCGGTCACTTCCACAAAGGCCACCATGTACAGAGCGTTCAAATTTCTTGTAAACGTTTGACTATGTGAGGGACAGATCTAGGGAAAAATATGCTCCAGTAGTAGGATGTAACTTGGTGCTTGAATCGTCGTGGAATACACATAAAGTATTATCAGAAATAAAATCTTCAATAACTTTCCCCTTATTGTTTGTACTTGCACTTCCCAATAGAGAGTTATGCCCATTGAAATCGCCCATGATGATCTATGTGGATTCATACAGTTTGCACACCGGTTTTTCGATTCATACGTCAATAAACCGAAGAAAATACACTCAGTCCTTAAAGGTAATTCGGATAGCAACAGCTTGAAGATAAGTATTTAGATGAGCAGCACTTGGAAGGACGTCCTCTCTAAAACAATATCGTACAGCCTTCTGTCCCTTTGGTGAGGTGAGGTGAAATGGGGTTTAACGTCGCGTCTAAGATTATTGCACTTATATAGCGACGTGCATGCACGTGTGTGTGTGTCTGCTTGTACTAGTCCGGACTGATGCCAATTTATAGTGCTAGCTCACTGAGATACCATGCCTCAGTTTAACATGAATACCCCACTCAGACACAGTAAACTGACTCCGAGCCGACCAGTCCTTGTTTTACTCCCTTAATGCCGAGCGCCAGACAGGGTAACAACAAGTACCATCTTTTAACGTCTTTTGGTATGGCGCGGCCGGGGATCGAACCCCAGACCTTCCGCTCTCCGGGCGAACGCTCTACCACTAGACCACGGAGGCGGTCTCGGTCCCTTTACCACACGGAGGAGAAAATGAATGGAAGGAACTGTACCGACGCAAATCATAGTTGTCGGTCTGTTTCAGATATCTCTCCCGCAGACATATTTCTGACGGCTTAAAATCTTGTGTTAATAAATGTAATTCATTAAACTTGATTTCGAGACATCTGCAATTCTTTGAATTAATGGATTACTAATGTTCAGGTTGTAGGTGCACGAACATGAGATCTATTTCTCCCATTGCGCTGCGTTTAGCTTCTGTTCCGCCCATGGGGATTAGGAGAGACATCCGTGTCCTTCAGAGTTTGAAATCGATTGTATATCTGTAGGGTCAGGGTGGGCATTTTGTACACTATTTGAAGTTTTTGAACAATCAAATTACCTTTCGTTGGCAACTATCAAATCAGGGGATAGTTTAGGTTCCGGTTCTGGCGCCGATGCTAATGTTGGCGACATGCTGATGCAATTTGAGTTGACACAGCTTCTGATGTTGATATATCATCTGTTTGTGAAGATGGACTGTACTGTACAAAGGAATAGCATTCAACAGACATGGCTGGTTTAGAAGGTATGAGTGTCACAGCTGCTGAGTAGGACACAGATGTGGTTGGAGAGACAGAAGCCATGACCAAACGCTTTGCTTCTGGGAAGGTGAAGTTTCATGTTTCATTTGTACAATCTGAAGTTGACGTTTAAACTTTGGACATGACTTCGTGGGAGCAACATGGCCACCAGTGCAGTTTGCAAAATGAGGACTTTTTGTACATTTAGAATGTGTATTGTGGCCATCTTCTCCACTTTGATGACATATCTTGCGATGGTTGTATGAATGTGCACCGTGTCCGAACAACTGAGTGATTGAGTGAGTGAGTATTGTTTTACGCCGCTTTTTGCAATATTCCAGCAATATCACGGCGGGGGACACCAGAAATGGGCTTCACACATTGTACCCATGTCGGGAATCGAACCCGGGTCTTCGGCGTGACGAGCGATCGCTTTAACCACTAGGCTACCCGACCGCCCCTCCGAACTACTGACGTTTGTAACATGGAAGTGTTTGGAATGTACATGAATCCACTTGGATGTTAAAATATCGTCCTTTTATATTTGTTGGACGAGTTGGCGTTGAAAATGTCATGAGATAAGTGTTTAAATTTTGTGCGGCGAAATCAAACTGAAAATGAGTAGAAAATAAATGTTTGGTAGGTTGTAAGGCTGCAGATTGTTTTGCAGTTGTACATTCACCAGCAGAATCCCGATCTATTTCTTTGGACACCCTGGACATATAAAGTACCCTACAGATGGCAAATGGTTTCAGTTTCAAAGGTACACCATCAGTGGAGGAAACCATTGAAAATCTAGACCAACTGATAGAAAACATTTTTGGTATTCTGAGGAATCATCTGATGCACGCTTTTGCTTTTGTTTTTGTTTGTGCCATTTTGAAGTTTCTAAATGGTTCACCATCCCAGCTCCCCACCCACCAGAGAGTGTCATAGGGACAATGCTTATAAGCCAGTGGATCTCCAACTGGCACCACCAAGGATACTGGAATGGTATACTCAAGCAGACGAAATGGTTAACCATCCCACCTCCCTATCCACCAGGGTGTGTAATAGGGACAATGCTATAAGCAGGTGGATCTCCAACTGGCACCACCAAGGATACTGGAATGGTATACTCAGTCAGACGAAATGGTTAACCATCCCACCTCCCTATCCACCAGGGTGTGTAATAGGGACAATGCTATAAGCAGGTGGATCTCCAACTGGCACCACCAAGGATACTGAAATGGTATACTCAAGCAGACGAAATGGTTAACCATCCCAGCTCCCTATCCACCAGGGTGTGTAATAGGGACAATGCTATACGCCAGTGGATCTCCAACTGGCACCACCAAGGATACTGGAATGGTATACTCAAGCAGACGAATTCAGTAGATATTAATTAGTCCACCAGACTGGCCCATGAGCCACCGCCTTCTGGGTTTACGACCTGAGGCATGTGAAACGTTTCACAATCAAAATTCAAGATTTTTTACATACAAAATAGGGCCAAGACCTAAAAGTAAAAGTCAAATTAGAATTCATACAATTAATGCACAGTGCTCGACATGACCAGCCGATTGATAGGATCGGGCCCATCCTACTACACGTGTAGCCGAAGTAAGGGTCTATTGGGCAAAGGAATGGAACTCCTGGAACCAGTGCCCTCAACCACCATTCCCCGCCGACACAGGGACACAACCCACGGCAAACAGATTGCCCAATTTAGGCGACCAACAATGGGGTTCTGGGGACTCATTCTACACCGGGTCCTCGTGGGGTCAAGAGAGAAGTCATGATTCAAGAGAGAAGTGAGGATTCAGGAGGGAAGTGAGGATTCAAAGGAGAGGGGGGGGGGGGGGGTGATACAAGATGGAAGTGATGATTCAGGAGGGAAGTGATGATTCAAAGGGGGGGGGGGGGGGGAGGTGATACAAGAGGGAAGTGAGGATTAAGGAGGGGAGTGAGGATTCAAAGGGGGGGGGGGGGGTGATACAAGAGGGAAGTGATGATTAAGGAGGGGAGTGAGGATTCAAAGGGGGGGGGGGGGGGGTGATACAAGAGGGAAGTGAGGATTAAGGAGGGGAGTGAGGATTCAAAGGGGGGTGATACAAGAGGGAAGTGATGATTCAGGGGGAAGTGAGGATTCAAAGGTGGGGGAGGTGATACAAGAGGGAAGTGAGGATTCAGGGGGAAGTGAGGATTCAAAGGTGGGGGAGGTGATACAAGAGGGAAGTGAGGATTCAGGGGGAAGTGAGGATTCAAAGGTGGGGGAGGTGATACAAGAGGGAAGTGAGGATTCAAAGGGTGGGTTGATGATTCAAGGTCAGAAGTGATGATTCATTTCATGTGGGATGTGACAATGTTACTCCACATGGAGGAGTCAAAGCCCATGCGGGCGTTATAACGTAGGTTTAGTACATAATGAGAAGGAAGGAATTTGTTGTATCTACAATAATTAAAATACACTTTGTCCTCAAAGGTTTTATTATTTACATGTCAATGAATTCATGACGAATGGTATACAGTTGAAATATACATACAAAACAAGATTGTAGTGTGTCATAAAGCAGCAACGAAACAAACAAAAATATATTTTTCTACAACATTTCAATTTGAGGTTAAATGAAACATGCTATGAAAGAAAGACGACTAAGCATGTTATTTTTATTTCTAAAACGGCTCCAATATAGACCATGTCTTCAATGTGAGGTAGGGCGGTCGGGTAGCCTAGTGGTTAAAGCGTTCGCTCGTCAGGCCGTAGACCCGGGTTCGATTCCCGATATGGGTACAATATGTGAAGCCCATTTCTGGTTTCCCTCGCCGTGATATTGCTGGAATATTGCGTAAAGCGGCGTAAAACCATACCCACACACTCACTCCATGTGAGGTGACGACCAGTTCAAGACATATGATTACACATTTTGAATATGGGAACACAAAAACAGGAACACCCAAAACACGTTTTAGCACCGTATGATCAGGAAAAGGTTACCAAGATTACAACTTGGAATTGAGCTGTTCACGTGTTCATCATTATACCAACATTTACTAAATATAATACCCTCAGTGAAGTGATCGTTTAATGTTTCAGGATTCTTTAACTTGGGTTCGTGTCTGCTACAAACGCATTCACGCATCACGTCAAATAAATTATCTACGTGTTGTCTGAATGAGTGTTGATGAGGCATGTTCAATGAGAAATGGTTTTGACTTGAACTGTCTTTACGCTTTTATAATATGTGAATATATCTGCACTTCGGCCACCTTATTTGTTGACCTGAGTTGACTGAACGGTTCCTGGTTATGTGCCAAAGAAAAATCAAAGATTAGGTTGAATCTACTTTTGGCTTATTAAGCTACAGATTCCTGCAAGATGCACATCATCTACAAGTTGGATCACTTAGAAGCATACTTGGCGGTCGGGCAGCCTCGTGGTTAAAGCGTTCGCTCGTCACGCCGTACATGGGTACACTGTGTATCTCCAACGTGATATCGCTGGAATATTGCCAAGAGCGGCGTAAAATGTTTAAACATAACCACTCACACACTCACTCAGTCTCCGTTGTCTATCTAGTGTAAGCAAGTAAATGACATAGAAAAAGCGATTAAATTTCACATATGGCGATAAACACAATCTATGAACACAATATTGAAAAAGGCACCTGGCCGTGATTTTTTCTCTCTATTTATGCCTGTTGTAACCAGCTTCAGCGGAAGCCCCATATAGCAACAGTCACCATAACAACCGTTGCTAGGAAAGATGACATGTGACCGGGAGAGGAACTCTGGCTCAGGAATGCTGCGCATTCGTCTGAAAACAAAGGACATATCTTTCTTATTTCTGTCTTCATTTCTATCACTATGAATGCTTTGTTTTATGATTTCGTTTAAACAAGGAAATAATGAGACTTTATCACACCATTTCTACTGAAATGTATGGTATTTTTTTTGAGGCTGTATCACGTATAACCGTTTGCAATGTCACGGTTTTAGGGAAATGCCTTATTGCCATACGATGATGAGTTATTCGTGTGATATCTGCTGACAAACCTAGAAACATAATAGGCGAATCTGGGATTTGGTCCCATGACCATTGGTTTCTGGCACATCAAAGGGACGCAACTCTGCACACCAAATTACGACGCCTCAGACGGCTTGGCCACCTATGCTCAAGACACAGCTGTTACGCAAAGCCAATCAAACATCTGATCAGTTGTTCACAGCCAGGAAGATCCCCCCAGGCGTGGTACGATCTCACTTAGGCAGCGGCCATTTTATTGTCGATCACCTCCCAAAACTAGTGGTAGAGCGTCTTACTGGAGAGTGGAAGGTCGAGGGTTCGATCCCTGACCACGTCATACCAAAGACGTTAAAAACGTTTCGCTGCTTGGCTTGGGGTATTCGTGCTCAACTGCGGCATGGTATCTCAGTGGACTAGCACTATAAAATCGCAATTAGTCCGGACCAGCGCGCGCGCACGCACGCACGCACGCACACACACACACACACACACTCTCGGATGGAAGGTCAATGCAATTCGATTCTGTCGCACAGGGACATGATAGTAACGATGCTGACGACATTTGCGCTTAAAGGTTATGTTAAGTGTGAGTTTCTCACCAACTGGCGTGCAGACTTTACACGACAGGGGACATTCATCTCTGAAGAAAACACCAAGTCCGTCCCTCTCACAGTAGCCATTGGCGGCGAACAGAGGACAGCCTTCGTCGTAATCCATACACGATCCCGAGGGGGCTAAAACATAGTCATTGACGTCAGTCGGGAAAGTGGAAGGTCACTTTTCTGTTTGTTGTTTAACGCCTTACTCAGCAATATTCCAGCTATGTGACGGTGGTCTGTAAATATTAGAGTCTGGACCAAACAATCCAGTGATTGACTTCACGAGCATCGATCCACGCATGTTGGATACGATGATATGCATCAACCAGGTCAGCGAACCTGACCACCGACCCCGTTAATCGCTTGATACGACAAGCTATGGTTTGCTAAAGACCAATTCTAACCCGGATTTTCACGGGTGGAAGGTCAATGCAATTTGATTCTGTCCGCGTTGAAATATTGTTGTGCTGTTCTGTGGTTTGTTGTGTGTGGTATGGACGTGGTATGTGGTATGTGGTACAGTATCTGGTTCACAGTATCGTATGTGCATATGGTGTAGAATATGGTATTATTTGTGGTATATAGTATAGTTTATGAAATAGTATGTGGTGTAATATTTGGTTTGTGGTAGATAGCACATGTATTGTATGTGGTATGTAACATGTGATATACTCTGTAATGTGTGGTACATACTGTGTCATTGACGTGGTATTGCATGACGTTTGGCAACGTGCTTTACGTTACGTTGATTGGCGTTGCCTTGCGTGGAGTATTGTGGTGTGGTGTGGTGTGGTGTGGTGTGGTGTGGTGTGGTATGGTGTGGTGTGGTGTGGTGTGGTGTGGTGTGGTGTGGTTTGGTTTGGTTTGGTTTGGTGCGGCATGATTGAGTTTGTGTCTTCACTAGATTTATGACCTAAGCTATTCTTATTTTGTGCATTGACTAAGTATCCATGAACATAGCACTTACTATATGGGAGACTGATCAACAACAAAAATAAATATCACAATTACTTGAGAATTACTCACTTGTACTGCAGAGGTCACACGTTTTCCTGCAGAAGACGCTCATTCTAGCCGTGTCGTTCTTACACAAACCGTTGGCCTTGTGTTCAGCGCATCCGCTACGCACATCCATGCAGTCAGGCCCTGAAACATACACACGGACATCTGTGAACGCGACCAGTGGAACATCGCATCGTATTTAGACGAGCCATTCTGCTCATCATCTGTTAATTTAACACGGATATAACCTGTTTTAGTTAATTATATAACACTACGGCATAATTGGTATCATGTGAATTTGATGAGTGTTTGTCATAGGCCTATTTCAGGGACACAATAAAGATTGAAGGTGAAGTGAAGTGGGGTGGAGTGTATGGGGTTAAACGTCATTCCAAGATTACTGCATGTGTATAACTACGTGCACGGCATGTGTGTGTCTGCTTGTACTAGTCCAGGCTAAAGCCGGTTTTATAGTGTCACCCCACTGAGATACCATGCTGCAGTTTAACATGGATGCCCCACTTAGACACAGGGGGCACGGGTGGCCCAGTCGTCTAAGGCGCCGCGATTCGCTGTGCAGAGTTGCGTCCCTTGAGCACGCCAGAAACCTAGGATTGTGGGTTCGAATCCCGGTTCGCCCCGATTATGTTTCTAGGTTTGTCAGCACCATACCCCTGCTCGTGGGTTTCACCTAACTGGTCAACGTCTGAGACCTGTATCACTTCGGCCTTTCCTCCCAGATTAAGCTAACACGCCGTGATAAACTCAACTCACTCACTTAGACACAGTATACCAGTCCTTGTTTTATCCCCTTACTGCCGAGCGCTAGACAGGGTAACAAGTACAATATTTCAATGTCTTTTGGGATGACGCGGCCGGGGATCGAACAACCGACCCTTCATTCTATCCATAAGGCCATGTATGTGGTCCAAAGGATTTAATTTGAAAATGTATTTGCATATTTCTATGACCCTGTGTAATCAAATCTATTTCTTGTGTAGAACCCCAGTCCCAGTGTATCGCTGTTTTATAATTTATCCCTATATACCTGACAATAACACTTTATTAGGATCATGTATTCACCTGGTGGAACACCTTCTGTTGTGGATGTTGCGGACGTTGTTGTTGGTGTTGTTGGAGTTGTTGGCCTGGTGGTAGCTATCGGTGAATTCCCACATGGGACAACAGGACTCGTCCTGACCGGCCCTGGACAATAACACTTGCAGTCCTTGCCCTGGAACCCCTCGCCAGGACAAGTCTTTCTTCCGCAGCCCACTAGAAAAATAAACATTATTTACTCCTTATTGTACAACTTCCCTTAATAAAAGCGACAAGCGATTCCGTCCATATCAAGAGCATGTGTTAATGAATCGTTATCAATAGCGATGATACTAGATGTTCGTCAAAAGGTGTATCCTGCCCCACCTGTCCCGCAACAAACCCCGTGAAGATCCGGGTTAGAACAGGTCTTCAGCAACCTATGTTTGTCGTAAGAGCCGACTATGCTTGTCGTAAGAGGTGACTAACGGGAACGGGCGGACAGGCTCGCTGACTTGGTTGATGCATGTCATCGTATCCCAATTGCATGGATCGATTCTCATGATATCAATCACTTGATTGTCTGGTCCAGACTCGATTATTTACAGACAGCCATCGTGTAGCTGGAATATTGCCTTCTACGACAAGCATGACTTGCTGAAGACCCTGTTAAACTGAAGCATGGTAGTCCGAACTAGAACGCACGCACGCACGCACGCACACACGCAAGCACGCACGCACGCGATATATACTAGAAAAAAACGCACGCACGCACGCACGCGATATATACTAGAAAAAAACGCACGCACGCACGCACGAACGCGATATATAATAGAAAAAAACGCACGCACGCACGCACACACACACACACACGCACACGCACACACACACACACACACTGACATCTACACAGAGAGACACACATGCATACATAGACACACACATGTGAGGGATTGAACAATGTTCTATTTAGCCACACAAAACCAAAAACTCACTTATGCCTGAACAGTTGTACATGAGATTCGCCAGCTTGATGTCGCGGAAACTCAAACCAACCCGCTGCCCTAGTCGGCTTTGATCTTCGGGGTTACGCGTTACAATGGTGCCGGGTCCGAAAGTCTGAAATACATATGACGGTTCATGATTGAACAATATACAAATGCATAAACAAGTCCCGACCCCTGTAAACAAAAATCCAAACGTGTTCCCCTGATGTGATGGTTTAAGCCACCTTGAGCAATATCACGTGAAGGAACCTGGGAATAGGCTCGACACGCTATACCCTTATAGGCAATCGAACCCAGGTCTACAGCGTGACGAGCAAACGCTTTAATCACAAGCCATAAGGACCTTATTTCGAGATCACAGTCACGGTAAGACCTCACACAATAGGGCCACGCATACCCTTGGGCATTTTTTACCAAGTTTACGTTATGATTAAAAAAACATTTATTCATTTTAAAAAATGAACTTTGCTGACCCCATTTTTGTGTTGTGTATCAATTAACTGATGCCCTGAGGAAGTATATTTAAAACAACAATCGGTAATTCCACTTTACTTACAGACTCAAAAAACAAATTAACTGTGATCATGTTTAAAATGGACCCCACATAATTTTCTAATTTGAAAATATCACTGGATAAAAATAATTTACAATCTTTGCTTTCGATTTCACAAGTCATAATTTAAATTCTGGTGATTTTCTTTTTCCATCACAGGCAACAGCAATGATGTGTTCACGGTTTATTGCATGATTTATCAAAATGTAAAGTGATTTCGAGAAAACAATTTATAAAACCAGAAACTGATCGAAACAACGGAACAAAACTCAAAGTAGCGAGAAAATAATTGAAAATACGAAAATATAATCGAAGTATCGAGAATAAATTCGAAATGTAGAACAAAATAAACAAAAAATTGAAATAAAAGAAATTACATGTATGCTACCACAGTGGCACCGTGTAAAGGCTTTCGTGGGACCCGACTCTTATAAAGATCGTGGTATTGTCATCGTAAGTTGATACCTACGTTTCCAGAGTAGTGCATGATGCTGTCGTAATCATACTCGACACCGCGGTCGTTGACGAGCGCCTGTGCCACTTTTCCAAACTGTGACCTCCAGTTGACGGGGATTTGGTCGAAATTGATGGTAACGAAATCATCCCTGTCGGGTCTCGCCTGCTCGTGGAACCATCCAATCGCATGGCCGAATTCGTGCACGACTATACCTTTCTGAATAAAAAAACAAGACAGATGAGACAAGTACGACTACACGTGGTGCAAATTAACTGGACCAGGCAAGCCAGTGGTTGATAGAGTGAGCATCCGTTAAAGTGACGAAGAAAGCAGGCGATAGCTGAGAGTGAAAATGGGTGATTGGTAGATTATGTGTCATCGTACCCAGACGGAGGAATAGTTGCTCATATTATTAAACTCTGGATTGCCTTGTCCATATTCGATTTAAATACAGGCCTCTATGGTACAGTTATACCCGGATATAAGCTTGCTATGGTATAATAGTGAGCCCCCGTCTTCCTCCTCCCCACACACACCCTCAGACAGACTGGCAGACAGACAGACACAGACACACACCCTCAGACAGACAGGCAGACACACACACACACAGAGACAGACACACACAGACAGGCAGACAGACTGACAGACAGACACAGACCCTCAGACAGACAGGCAGACAGACAGACACAGACACACACCCTCAGACAGACTGGCAGACAGACAGACACAGACACACACCCTCAGACAGACAGGCAGACAGACACACACACAGAGACAGACACACACAGACCCTCAGACAGGCAGGAAGACAGACAGATAGACACACACAGAGAGACAGACACACTTATACAAACAGACACACACAAACACAGACACACACAGGCACACAGACACACACCCTCAGACAGACAGGAAGACAGACAGACACACACTTAGACAGACAGACAGACAAACAGACAGACAGACACACAGATAGACAGACACACTTATACATACAGATACACACACAAACACAGACACACATACAGACACAGACATAGACATACACATACACACACACAGCAACACTTATGCATACAGACACACACACACAAACACACAGACTGACATACACACAGACAGAGAGACGCACATACACACATAGACGCACATATACACACAGACACAGAAACAAAAAAACACACATACACACACACACACACACACACACAGAGACTCACAGACACAGACATGCACAGACGCACATATACACAGAGACAGAGAGAGACACGCACACACACAGACACACGCTTACCCTACGACAGTTGGGTGCCAAGGCCAGGTCTTGAATTCCTCCCGTTCTCCCTAGCCTGGAGTAGCATCTGTGTTCAGAAAAAGAAAAAGATTATGTTTTCACTGTTTTTCAGTGACTCTTTTATTAGACTGTATTGACACTAGGAAGACGATAAATACTCCAGCGCCTTAGCAGACGCTCAGAACAGTCGCACCATCACCTGGACCTTGTATTACTGAACTCGACTTACCCCCCGCCGTTGCGGACACGAATACGACTAGGTTGTGTACTGCTTCTCTTGAACTTAAGACAAGTATAGTTCTCCCATTCCGCTAGAGCTTCAGCTATTACCGCACGGTCCGCGTCAGCTGAAAACGAAAGCGTAACTAGAACTGACAGTGTGCGTTGGAATATCATCCAACAAAACACAATAAAATAAACGCTCAGTTCCGTTCTATTTTCAACATGTTTTGTGACACACCACTGACAAAAATGATGCCCGATGCTATTCCCTATTTTGACTTTTACCATATGTTCCTGGTTTTTTTTCAGGTGAACAATTGACTTGCATTTGCAAGTGTGTGTGACGGGTGCCACCGGTGGGACAGGATACGGCCACTTAATCGCAAACACATTGTAGTCCCGAGCCTAATATATAACACTCAGTCTCTCAATGAGGTAAGAAAAGTGTAAGTAAGGGTCTGATTTCAGTCCAACTGATAGTTTGTTGCAAAATTACGACATCAATTATTCGCTGTTTGATGTTTGATGACCTCACGGTTTGATGACGTCACAAGTGACGCCATTGAAATTTATAAATATTTTCAATATCTGACATTCTCTTGCTGTAGAGTTACAAGTTGGTTGGTTGGTTGGTTGGTTTGTTGTTTAACGCCGCACAGCAATATTCCAGCTATATGACGGCGGTCTGTAAATAATCGAGTCTGGACCAGACAATCCAGTGATTGATATCATGAGCATCAATCCACGCAATTGGGATCGATGACATGCATCAACCAAGTCAGCGAGCCTGACCACCCGATCCCGTTAGTCGCCTTTTACGACAAGCATAGTCACCTTTTGAGTTACAAGTATATCCCCTAGCAGAGCATTAATTGGCTCTACTGATAGATTAGACTACTTCAAGGCTAGGTAGATACCGAAAAGCGGACTATTGAGGAATATCGGGTTATATAACTCACAGAAATCAGCATCTTCGATGTCATAGTAGACGTTACAGTTTTCCCAGAGCTGTCGGTCACTGGAGGTAGCTTTCCTCCTGACTCGGGATCTTTTATTCCTGAAATAACAATACGCGAAAAAAAGAAATATGAATCATATTTCCTTCGTTAATGTCAGCGTCTAGTTTCACAGATAAAAGAAAACTATATATTACACCATCTGGACCCAATGTGTGCTTTCTGAACAATACAGGTAGAAGTTTGATGATCCGTGCAAAAATGTTATATTTGCTAAAATGATCTTGGGAATCACAAGTATCAGTGTTTCTTAATAAGGTGTACTACTACTACTACTACTACTACTACTACTACTACTACTACTACTACTGCTTCTACTGATACTACTACTACTACTACTACTACTACTAGTAGTAATTGTGAACTCATGTAGGAAAATATACGCCGGTCTAGTGAATAGAGCGTCTGCCCGAGGAGCGGAATATCGGGGTTTAATTCCCGGTCGCGTCATACCAAAATAAGGTATAAGAGGGTACTTGTTGTTACCCTGCCTGTCGTTAGGCATAAATGAGATTAAAGAGGACTGGTCGGCACTTAGTCAGTGAACTCCCTTAGGAAAGTAGACCGCCTCCCTAATCTAGTGAATAGAGCGTCTGTCCGGAGAGCGGAAGGTTGGGGGTTCGATTTCCGGTCGCGTCATACCAAAATACCAAAAGAGGGTACTTGTTGTTACCCTGCCTTGCCTGTCGCTCGGTATTAAGGAGATAAAAGAGGAATGGTCAATACACTGTGTCTGAAAGGGGTATCAATTTTAAACTTCGGTATGGTACACTCAGACACAGTGTACTGACTCCGAGCTGACGCGTACTTGTTTTAGCCCTTAATGCCGAACGCAGGGTAACAACAAGTACCATCTTTTAACTTCTTTTGGTAGAACGCGGGCGGGCATCGAACCCCGACCTTCCGCTCTCCGGGAAGATGCTCTACCACTAGACCACTGAGGCGGCCCCACTCCTATCATATATTGGAAAGACGAGTGATCACAATTGTTTATAACACAATCAACCACTGCACTTTATGTAACAATCAGGCCATTGGTGATGTATTTCATTTTGTATTTTAATTAATTTTAATTCCATCTGACAGCTGTTGGTACTATTAAATTCCCCTGTCCTTCCATCAATGTATAAACGTATCCCTTTTTATCCTAGCTTTTACAATCGAAATATCACATCTTAATGAAGAAACATTTAAAAAATAAAATAAATATGCTGTTCTGTTCTGTTCTGTTCTGAAAATATGTACTTGTCGACCGCCTCCGTGGTCTAGTGGTAGAGCGTCCGCCCGGAGAGCGGAAGGTCCGGGGTTCGATGCCCGGCCGCGTCATACCATAGGACGTTAAAAGATGGTACTTGTTGTTACCCTGTCTGGCGCTCGGAGTCAGTATACTGTGTCTGAGTGGGGTATTCATGTTAAACATGGTATCAGTGGGCTAGCACTATAAATCGGTATCAGTCCTGACTAGTACAAGCAGCCACACACACACACACACACACACACACACACACGCTATAGAAGTGCAATAATCTTAAACGCGACGTTAAACCCCACTTCACCTCACCTATGAACTTGTCGCTTTGCGAAATATTTCGTTCAGTTGATAGTGTGGAGTAAAATCTAACAAAATCTTGAGCAGTGAATTACTCTGTGCGTTCAGGCTCGCTTTCCGCGTCATGTTGCCCGACCCAGCGTACTGCCTGTGCTCCCTGTTGTAGATATCCCTATGCGTAATGTGCCATTATTTCAGTTTCGGCCATTTCCTGGCTCAATATACCAGCTTTTCGCCAGCTCATGGCACATTCGTCTCTACTCTCCAATTCCGGTAAACAGCAAGAGCGAGTGAGTGAGTTGGGTTTAACGCCGCTTTTAACAGTATTCCAGTTATATCACGGCGTGTCAGCTTAATGTGGGAGGAAAGCCCGAGGTGATACAGGTCTCAGGCGTTTACCATTTTGGTGAAACCCACGAGCACGGGTATGGTGCTGACAAACCTAGAAACATAATCCGGATGAACTGGGATTCGAATCCACAATCATAGGTTTCTGTCGAGTGGGCCACCCGTGCTCCCGTAAACAGCAAGAAGACTCGCCCCACATCAGAAAGCGCGTATACCAACCTATATATACACGTACGTGTACTTTATCAACTAATCCCTCCTAGATATATCAGTATCTATAAATATAGCACAGTGACAGTCTCAATTGCGTCTCTGTACTTAATAACAAGTGGTTGTGAATGAGCTATATTACGAAACGACTGATGTAACCTCACAAAGCAAAGGCGGATGCAGCATATCAAGATTCCTATTTATTAGCAATGTCTCCATGTGAGAAGGCGGAAGCAAGTTGATAAAATGGCTCGGCAGGGGCAGGAGTCACCGTTCGGCTTGTCCCGGAATGACACGAGGGATCACGAATCATAACGACAGATACTGACGCCATCATTCGTGATACGGCTATCTCGGAACACCCTAGCAACCCTCTGGACGGTGGGGTAGCCTAGTGGTTAAAGAGTGCGCTTGTTATGCCAAATACCTAGGTTCCATTCTCCACATGGGTACAGTGTGTGAATCCCGCCGTGATATTGCTGGAATAGTTCTAAAAGCGGTATAAAACCGCACTCATTCACTCACAAATGTGGCCTCGTGCCTCCCTAAGCTTTACCCGGAAGGAAAGGGGAGAATATAGTGCCCTTTATGTCAGATAGTGCCAAATTGTCTGGAGTGAATATTTGTATTCACAATCTGTACATAACATTGACATCAGCTCCCCAGAATTTAATTTCAAGTGGAAGTTTAAGGACGATGGGTGTGTTTAGGCGTAATTCTTCCGATGAGCATTGTTGACAGTGGTTCGATGAATCTAGACTGGCTCCAGGCTCATAGTTTGCTGTTTAAGTGACAAGACCGGCAGGTTAGCCACCATGCACGAGAACAGCCTGTGGCCGGTATTACTTTGTGTGAACTGCCATGTCACTGAAGACGGCAAACAAGGAAAATAGATGGTTGGTTGGTTTGTTGTTTAATGCCGCACTCAGCAATATTCCAGCAATATGACGGCGGTCTGTAGACAATCCAGTGATTGATATCATGAGCATCACGCAATTGGGATCGATGACATGCATCAACCAAGTCCGCGAGCCTGACCACCTAGTCGCCTCTTACGACAAGCATAGTCATGGGTTGCTGAAGACCTATTCTACCCCGGTTCTTCACGAGTCCGTCCATCCTTGGTATACCTACCCGTATTTTGCCAGTTCCTTCAGTGTTAGGAGAATATCCAACTCCACCATCACCATCATCTCCCCGTCGCCCATGTCGTGAATCAGATCAAACATTTCATCTAAAAGGGAATTTGTTTTTTTATTAAATGTTATCACGGCAAACAGCGGGCATACCAATTTACCCTACATTTCCATCGGAAGATGTTTATTTGTGTCATAGGCTTGTCACATACCAGTGATTTAAGGACAACAGTTTGAAGTAATTCATTGTATGTTAAATGTTAAGTTTCTGAACAAATTAATGACAAAAGTAAGTGTTCCTTTAATATGACACAAGTCAAATTATATTTACATTTAAATTTGTTGTTGCAAAAAGTTGCATTAAAAGCCAAACGATAAGCACGTTCAGACGCCATAACCAACGGATCTCCAGTATCACAGATACACACACATACATACACATACACATACATACACACACATACACACAGACACACAAACACACACACATATACACACACATACATACAAACACATACACATACATACATATACACACACATACACATACATACACACACATACGCATACACACACATACATACACATACACACATGCAAACACACATACACATACACACATACATACACATGCATACACACATACACATACATACACATACACATGCACAAACATACATACATACATACATACATACATACATACATACATACATACATACATACATACATACATACATATACACGCACATACACAGACACATACTCACACATACACATACATACACACATACACACATAGACACACACACACACACACACACACACACACACACACACACACACACACACACACACACACACACACACACACACACACACACACACACACACACACACACACCCTTGTTGGTTGTGATAACCGGAAGAAGAGAGGCTTGTGGCGTTGCCTCCTCCACAAGTCCGTGCCTCCTCTAACGCTACAATGTTTCCGGTTTACTTCCGACGGACGAGGATCAAAGGTCAGCCCAGCTGTCCGCATTGACACTAAACGCTCTCCTAAGGTCATGCCGTCACAATGACTTAAATGCACACTCATGTACGTCCAACTCATTGTGCACAATGACAAACTACTACAATGACACAGCCAGAAAGGATACATGTGAAACTACCAACGATTTCAGGATATGCAGGATATTTCGTGAACACCCGACGTCATCACTGATTTGCATTTATTTCTTTATTTCTTCATATCTTTCCCCCCACTATTTTGTCTCTTACGCCTAATGGATCAGTTTCAGTGGATAATCGAGACCGGTTATTCTTTGGCGTTGACGTTAAATATTTATATCACACTTTGCTTACAGTGCTACGGTGTGTGTGTGTGTGTGTGTGTGTGTGTGTGTGTGTGTGTGTGTGTGTATGTGTCTCTGTCTGTGTGTGTCTGTGTGTCTGTGTATGTGTGTGTATGTGTCTGTGTATGTGCGTGTATATGTATGTATGTATGTATGTATGTATGTATGTATGTATGTATGTATGTATGTATGTATGTATGTATGTATGTATGTACGTACGTACGTACGTACGTACGTATGTATGTATGTATGTATGTATGTATGTATGTATGTATGTATGTATGTATGTATGTGTGTTTGTATGTGTGAGTGTATGTTTGTGCATGTGTATGTGTATGTATGTGTATGTGTGTATGCATGTGTATGTATGTGTGTATGCATATGTGTATGTGTGTGTATGTGTATGTGTATGTATGTGTATGTGTGTGTATGTATGTGTATGTATGTTTATGTGTATATGTGTGTATGTGTATGTATGCGTGTGTATGTGTATGTGTGTGTATGTGTGTGTATTTGTATGTGTATGTATGTGTGTGTAAGTATGTGTGTATGTGTATATGTGTATATGAATAGGTCCATAGGTTTTACTATTATGAAGCACAGTGGACTGTGAGGTCAATGAGAGAATCCTGTGTAAGCTGTGTGTAGCGGGACGTGGAGTCATCCCACAGATGACATCCTCACCTTGTCAGCTTGCTGACGGGGTTAACCTCTTTGGTCATGTGGACAAGGCGTCCGACCTCTGATCAGAAGGTCCGTGGTTCGAATCCCATCACGGGACTCGGAAATGTCATTGCCGCTACATGTGGTTAACTATTTAAGGATTGAATGCTGTCATCGAGCTGACTTTCCAAGTGCCGTGGAATTACAGAAAGAGGCTTACATTACTGTCATTACATTATTCACGTCAAGGGATTTTACTCGTACATGTATTAGTTAAAACATGTGCTGAAAGAGAATTACAGAGATGTTTTTACGTCACATGGGTGTAGGTGTTCCAGTCGTCGGTATCGATCGATGGCTTCCTTTGATTTGAAAGTTTCCTTTGATTTGAACATTGAGATAAAGCAGTGAGAATGTCTCAACCTTTGACTAAAGAAAAGTCGTTTATGGCTGTTGAACCTATCAATTTTAATCACATGTGATATACAAGTAGTAACTAGGATTTAATTTTTTGGCTTCAGTATTTTTGATTGTTGTTTAACGCCGTACTCAGCAATATTCCAGCTATGTGACGACGCCCTAAAAATAATCGAGTGGGTTGCTGAAGATCAATTCTCACCCGGATATTGACGAGTTTTTGTGCTTATGTTTTGGCTTCAGAATGGAACAACATTATATGTTAAATTCTTTCCCTCTTTTCACGTGTGAAATGCATTAAACAGTCATCAGTCGGTAGCTGCATGGTAATAGCTATTGTTTTCATCTCTGTCAAACACAGAGTGATGTTAGCAAAGTTGGTTGGTTGGTTGCTTTGTTGTTTAACGCCGCACTCAGCAATATTCCAGCTATATGACGGCGGTCTGTAAATAATCGAGTCTGGACCAGACAGTCCAGTGATTGACATCATGAGCATCGATCCACGCAATTTGGATCAATGGCATGCATCAACCAAGTCAGCGAGCCTGACCACCCAATCCCGTTAGTCGCCTTTTACGACAAGCATAGTCGCCTTTTATGGCAAGGATGGGTTGCTGAAGACCTATTCTACCCCGGATCTTCACGGGTCTGTTAGCAAAGACTCTACTCACGTGAAACAGCTGACTCCATGATGATTTCGTCGATAGTCTTGCCATCGTTATCAGCTGGTGCTGCATCACATGCCTGAAGACGAAGCGGAAATACAAATTAAGTCTAGCAAACGAAAAAAATATGTTGTCGTTAATCCATTTGAGAAACATACCGACCTGTTGTATAACTTGACACCACACATATGTATTCAGTACACATGGATCGTTAAATGATGTATGATACACATATGATATACATATGCCCCCACCACATACACACACACGCACACACACGGACACATACACACAACCCCTCTGTCTCACACACACGGACACACACGGACACATACACACAACCCCTCTGTCTCACACACAAGGACACACACACAAAACCCCTCTGTCTCACACACACGGACACATACACACAACCCCTCTGTCTCACACACACGGACACATACACAAAACCCCTCTGTCTCACACACACGTAAACATACACACAACCCCTCTGTCTCACACACACGGACACATACACACAACCCCTCTGTCTCACACACACGGACACATACACAAAACCCCTCTGTCTCACACACACGTACACATACACACAACCACTGTCTCCCACACACGTACACATTCACACAACCACTCTGTCTCACACACACGGACACACACGGACACATACACACAACCCTTCTGTCGCACACACACACGGACACACACACACGTTCACATACACACAATCCCTCTGTCTCACACACACACGGACACACACATACACATACACACAACCCCTCTCTCACACACACACGGACACACACGTACACATACACACAACCCCTCTCTCACACACACACGGACACACACGTACATATACACACAACCCCTCTGTCTCACACACACGGACACACACGTACACATACACACAGCCCCTCTCTCGCACACACGGACACACACGTACACATACACACAACCCATCTGTCTCTCTCACACACACGTACACACACGTACACATACACACAACCCATCTGTCTCTCTCACACACACGTACACACGCGTACACATACACACAACCCCTCTGTCTCACACACGGACACACACGTACACATACACACAACCCCTCTGTCACACACACAGACACACACGTACACATACACACAACCCCTCTGTCACACACACGGACACATGAAATATATTGTTAAATGATACCGTATTGTCCAAACTGTAACTAACACGTCCCCCTATTCCGTTGTTTGGGGGTAAATATGAGATACGCCCTCAATATACTTTCATTTCAATGAATCAATAGACATAACTGTTTTCTCTTTTTCTGTTTGAGGTGTGCATTCACAACTCAAACATTGCACATGTTTATTCGTCATCCAGCTCTATCAGTGCAGGTTTCAACACAATACAAACAAAGAATGTATACTATTTACAATTAGTTTACTAATCCAATGTAAATAATGCAGCAATGCAGTCTTCTCTCTCTCTCTCTCTCTCTCTCTCTCTCTCTCTCTCTCTCTCTCTCTCTCTCTCTCTCTCTGTGTATGTGTGTGTATGTATGTGTATGTGTGTATATATGTATATGTGTGTATGTGTGTGTGTTGAATATGCTACCTGTGTATTTGTATTTTGTTAATCTGGGTATGGACCCAATATTATGTGTACTTAGAAACCAACCATTTCATACTCCACGGGTGGGTGGGGAGGTGGATTTTATCGGAAAAGGTCATTTGTCCCAGAAAAAGTCTTGAAAAAATGTGTGCTACAAGCTGTTTTAAATAAAAGACATTGTCTGCCACAAAATCACATTGTTGCAACATGTTTTCTTAACAAAATCAAGTTCAATTCACAAAATATCGGTTTTTTGCAGCTGTAGCTGAGAAATATCTAATATCCAGACAAAATACCAGCCCTCCACACACACACCCCCCCCCTCCTTACTCCAGACACACACACACACACAACCCCCGCACCCCGCACCCAGAATATCCAATGGTCGGTCATTTAAGGGAATGAACACACAATATTTCTAAATGACATTGTGTGTTCATAGCTTTCGGCCATGGGAGCCGTGCCATTTTACGCTTGTCATAGGGGTACACAAAGTACGTGATCTAGACTACCAGATGTCGGACTTTCATTTTGTTGAAGCCTCGGTGGCTGTGTGGGTGTTAGATCGCTGACTTTGTGAGCTGGCAATTTGGTGCCTCACTCTGGCAGTGTGCGTCCGAATCCCGGACGGGACTCAACCCCCCAAAAGTACGAGAATCTGCACTTTACTCAGAAAGTGTTATCCAAAATATCGCATGTGTTACACTTACGGGAAGTTGAGGAGTTGTTTAACCAAGTCGCCACGTGGTTTGGTGTGTTCACAATCAGCAAATGGATGATGTCCATGTGATCATAATTATAAATAATTTAACAATTTCTGTTATCAATAAATGCGTTTGATCACTTTTATCTTCACCATTAGGTACAACACTTAAACATCTGGCGCTACAGTAAGATAAAAATACATTCAGAAATACATATAGTTTAATGGTGTTTCTGAGCCCAGTTTTCATATGTTGAAACTGAAATCCAATACGCCGAAGCATCGAGTCAGTTCATTTGTCATAAATAAATCATGATTGTGCACAAAAGTGTAGCTCACCTTTCTAATCCTAAAGGAACGAAAAAGGAAATAGTCTTACCCGATACGATACAAGCACCAGCAGAATAGCCACAATCTTCATTTATCACTACATGCGTATGATCACACTTACTTTTGCCTTGGGTACGATATACTTAAACATCTGACGCTACGGTCATGTCCCATTAGTCATACGCCCATTTGTCATACTCCCAATAGTTATACAGCAAATGAGGGGTTAGTTAAAACAACAATAGGCATATACCCTTTGGTCAAAATGGATTAGTCCACTAATTAGAAAGCTTGGGATTAGTTTAAATAAATACCTATGATATTTTAGGAACAAGTAAAGGATTCATCTCAAACTATTTACTGTTCTTAACTGAGTTAAAAAAACACAAACTAGTACATAAAAGTGTCTATGTTTTAGACTCTAGCATATCACTCTTGTTATCATGGCAGGATTGATTGAAGTGGAATGTGTTGCTTCTAGGCGATGTACAGCATCATCCCTGGCTCTGTTACCGGAAGCTGACGTCCAAGATGCCTGGGTCGACGCCATGGACGATACGCCAGAACTAGAGAGTTCAGAGAGTTAATGATTATATTGTTACAACTTGGGTTGATGATGATGCTAGATTCCCTATCCCTCTATGGAATCACTACCGAAACATTGGACCTCGCACGAACAATAATCTGGAAGGCTTCCACTGCCGACTAAACAAGTCTCTGCCACATCATCATCCAGACATTTATCGTTTTGTTGAACTTATCAAGCAGATTGAGAAGTCTGAATCTGCCAAGATGCGTCAAATTGACTTTGGTGCTGCTCCCCAAGGCAGAAAGCGTTTCAGTTTCTGGATGCTGCTGATTACCTGTATCCAACTGACCACTTAATGTGAAACTGCAAACTCAAAATGTTAACTTACAGTGATTACTTAACGTGATTATTTATGTATATATGTCATATAAGATTATAGGTCATTGATGATGATATGTGCTATCTTGAATATATATGCTATGCTGAGGAGCATTTAAAGACTATTAAAAGTATTAAAAGTTGTAATTTTGTGTTTCTTGGATCATTCCGCTTTAATTGTGGGTATTTACCACTCTAATTCTTTATTCATGTACATGTGTAGGCCAGCGGCCCATGGTACAATATTTGGTCCATCATAAACATTTATAGGCTTAGTGTTTGGAGTCTAACATTCATAGCATGGTATATAAAAGTTGCAACATTTCTAATTACAGTTTCATTGTTTACCGCCATAAGCATATTGAATTTAGCAAGAGTAGGATGTACAAAATACTTCTGTGGTAAATACTGAAGACGAAGTTCATCATAAGAGTTACAAATTAATAAAAAATGATATTCATTCTCGACATATCTTTGGTTGCAACTATTGCACAATCTCTGCTCTCGTGGAGTATTAACGTATCTACCAGTCTCAATATGGAGAGTATGGGAGCTACAGCGAAACTGGGCTAGTGCAACACGAAATTTGTTGATAGTGATAGCAGACAAATACAACTCTAGACTGAATGAATTTTTGAAAAGTGTATAATGGAACATTTTAGAACTATTTGCTAAAGACCAATGCCAGTCCTGTTCGTAAGCAAATTTTAACCGATCTTCACATTCGGAAATAAATGATTCGGGGCAAATAACATATTGGTTCTCCCATATATATCCAAATCCAAGGCTGTATAAAAGAGTTTTGACTTTTGTAGCCCAATTAGTTTTACCATGTGTGGCTAGCTGAAATAACATATCATAACTTTTCTTAGGATATCGTGAATTTGGTAGGGACATAAGTTTACACCAATATTTTATACAGCGTTTATACGCAGAAATGTACAGTGGGTATCTTCCACACTCTCCTCGCACAACATGATTGGGAGTAGACGTTTTAACACCTAGCAGACGTTTACAAGCAAGTACATGGATACTTTCTATTTCTTTGCAGTTTTCAAAACTCCATATTTCAGCCCCATATAACATAATTGGAGCAATTTTAGTATCGAATATTTTAAAAAATAGTTTCAGTGGAATAGGTTTAAGTGATGAAAGGGATTTTAGAACCGAGAACAATACCCGTTTAGCCTGTAATGAAGCATTGTAAGTATGTTTCGACCATGATAAATTCTTTGAAAATACAACTCCCAAATATTTGTACGATGATACACATTCCAACTGACAACCAGTGAAATACCATTTCTCAGATCTAGAAAGTACACCACCATTCTTAAAAACTACTATTTTCGACTTATCAAGATTTACATTTAGGGAATAATTCTGGCAATAGTGTTCGAGTACATCGATGCGTTTTTGGAGGCCATATACAGTATCTGATATAAGAATTACATCATCAGCAAAGAGTAGCAGGAATAGTTGAATTATGTCTGGATGGAGCTGGATTCCGGGTTCACAGTTAGCCTCAATTTCAACAGCTAGATCATTGATAAACAATGAAAACAAAAACGGGCTCAGTACACAGCCTTGACGGACACCCAAGTCACAATCGAATACATCTGAGAAGTTATTGTTAAACTTTACACAGGAACGTACAGTCGTATATATGGATTGTATACATTTAAACATTTTAGGTGACACACCACTGTTATTCAAAACTATCCATAGTAGCATGCGATGTGTTAGTTCCCTATATTACCTGTCTGTTTAACGTTATATTTGATTCCGCTTATTTTCCGATTTCCTGGTCGACTGGCCAAATTGTACCATTACACAAGAAAGGGGATACTAATACACCCGATAACTACCGAGGGATTACAGTATTAAGTATTTTTAGCAAGTTATATATTTCTGTTCTAAATAGAAGGTTGCAGTCTTGGTGTGATGCCTATGATAAAGTTGTGGAGTCGCAAGCAGGATTTCGTTGTGGCTATTCCACAATTGATAATATGTTTATTTTACAGTCAGTTATACAGCGTTATCTGGGGAAGAAGCGAGGTAAACTATATGCTTTATTTGTAGACTTCTCCAAAGCGTTCGACTCTATAAACAGATCAATTGTGGGTATTACAAAGGTAGTTGTTGGTGCAGTCAACCATACCATATGTTGTTTTAACCCGTATGACTAATGGGCCGTATGACTAATGGGAGGACACCGACGCTACAGTAAGACAACAGCTAGGAGGTGCGAGGTCACCACATCCTTAATGACTATCTCTGTACCTGGTACATCCTGGGGTTCCGGTGTAGCGTTTAACACTTGGCGGTCATTTTGTTAAAGATGGATAATATAGCGAAGAAAACACGATGTTCCTTGAGATTTAGGATGCTTGTAAATGTTTTCACAAACGGACTGATATTCAGTATTAGCAAATACAGATATATTCTTGTCATATAGCCGTCAACGAAATTAATCCTTCAATAGAAAAGGCATTTCTTATGACCGGTGTTGATGAAATAAGACTGAACGTTGCATGCAGATGGATGAATATCAGATACACCTACAATCAACTGTAAGGTTGGATGAAAAAGTTATATACTAAAGCCAAGACATATAGACGTATCAAAACTTGAAACACTAACGACCAGACATCTGGACGTACCAAAACCTGACATACTGACGCTCAATAATACAGATGTGTCAAAACCTGATATATTAACTTTCAACCCCAAAAACGAACCAAACCTCGGTATATGAGGACTACCAACCATATGGATGTATGAAAACCTGATACACTGACGCCCAACAACATGGGTGTATCTGATGTATCGAAACCAGTTATGTGAACATCTGATACGTAAATGTATATGATAACGTAAAACCATGCATACGGGTGTTTCAAAGCCTGTTGCCAAATAATGTGACATTGTATCCGCACCAACTTCATATACTTGATTACAAAAAGAGACACAGCAGATATACTTGATTACAAACGGAGACACAACATATATACATGATTACAAACGGAGACACAACAGATATACTTGATTACAAACGGAGACACAGCAGATATACTTGATTACAAACGGAGACACAACAGATATACTTGATTACAAACGGAGACACAGCAGATATACTTGATTACAAACGGAGACACAACAGACATACTTGATTACAAACGGAGACACAAGAGACATACTTGATTACAAACGGAGACACAACAGACATACTTGATAACAAACGGAGACACAACAGACATACTTGATTACAAACGGAGACACAACAGACATACTTGATTACAAACGGAGACACAACAGACATACTTGATAACAAACGGAGACACAACATATATACTTGATTACAAACGGAGACACAACAGATATACTTGATTACAAACGGAGACACAACAGACATACTTGATAACAAACGGAGACACAACAGATATACTTGATTACAAACGGAGACACAACAGACATACTTGATAACAAACGGAGACACAACGGATATACTTGATTACAAACGAAGAACAGATGTATTTGATTACAAAATGAGACACAACGTATATACTTGATTACAAACGGAGACACAACAGATATACTTAATTACAAACGGAGACACAACAGACATACTTGATTACAAACGGAGACACAACAGACATACTTGATTACAAACGGAAACAACAGATATACTTGATTACAAACGGAGACACAACAGATATACTTGATTACAAACGGAGACACAACAGACATACTTGATTACAAACGGATACACAACAGATATACTTGATTACAAACGGAGACACAACAGACATACTTGTTAAAAAACGGAGACACAACAGACATACTTGATAACAAACGGAGACACAACAGATATACTTGATTACAAACGGAGACACAACAGATATACTTGATAACAAACGGAGACACAACAGATATACTTGATAACAAACGGAGACACAACAGATATACTTGATTACAAACGGAGACACAACAGATATACTTGATTACAAACGGAGACACAACAGACATACTTGATAACAAACGGAGACACAACAGATATACTTGATTACAAACGGAGACACAACAGATATACTTGATTACAAACGGAGACACAACAGATATACTTGATTACAAACGGAGACACAACATATATGCTTGATTACAAACGGAGACACAACAGACATACTTGATTACAAACGGAGACACAACGGACATACTTGATTACAAACGGAGACACAACGGATATACTTGATTACAAACGGAGACACAACAGATATACTTGATTACAAACGGAGACACAACAGATATACTTGATTACAAACGGAGACACAACAGACATACTTGATTACAAACGGAGACACAACAGATATACTTGATTACAAACGGAGACACAACAGACATACTTGATAACAAACGGAGACACAACAGACATACTTGATAACAAACGGAGACACAACAGATATACTTGATTACAAACGGAGACACAACAGACATACTTGATAACAAACGGAGACACAACAGATATACTTGATAACAAACGGAGACACAACAGATATACTTGATTACAAACGGAGACACAACAGATATACTTGATTACAAACGGAGACACAACAGACAAACTTGATTACAAACGGAGACACAAGAGACATACTTGATTACAAACGGAGACACAACAGACATACTTGATTACAAACGGAGACACAACAAATATACTTGATAACAAACGGAGACACAACAGATATACTTGATTACAAACGGAGACACAACAGATATACTTGATAACAAACGGAGACACAACATATATACTTGATTACAAACGGAGACACAACAGATATACTTGATTACAAACGGAGACACAACAGATATACTTGATTACAAACGGAGACACGTTCTTATCTATGCCACAACAGAACATAAGACGCGAACAGAGCCCAGGCAAGGGAGAAACAACTAAATTAAGATTCACAAGTCATATTTGGATGTATTCAACCCGGCCCTTATAAACACACGACCCTGTCATATGCAAACTTTATACCAGTGCACACAGATTGGTGAATATTTAAATATATAGTGTAACGAATAATTTATCTCACAAGAACAGTCGATTATATCTTCCAAGTATAAATCAAAATACATAAAAAAGGCATCAGAAATATATAGTTTAATAATGTTTGTGTGCCCAGTTTTCAAATGTTGCAACTTAAATCCATTACGCTGAAACAACGAGTCAATTTAATTGTCATAAATAATGAATGATTTTACACAACAGTGTAGCTCACTTTTCTAATCCCAAAGGAGCCGAAAAGGAAATATTCTTACCCGATAAGATAAAAACACAAGAAGAATAGCCACAATCTTCATTTTCAATCCTTCCTTGCAATCGCTGTACATGTGCGTCTGAACCCTGGCTCAGACTAACTGCTGTCAGTTTATATGTATCGTTAATAACTACTCCGTGTATCTTCTCATGGAAATTACTTCCCTGTACTAAATATGTTATGGTGAAACATTTCCTGTGAAGTATGAGTGCGTATAGTTGTCACACTTATTACTCTATATAGGCAGATGTGTGATTCACAATCACTGTTGATATTGCGTTCGATTGATATGTGTCACATGTTCCTCCGGATAGACGATGACGCACTGTAGCGACTGGGTAGTGTTATATGCAATCCTCGACATTCATTCCAGTTAAATCACGTTTACATAAAAAACGACGTTAATATTTTTTACTTGATTACAAACGGAGACACAACAGACATACTTACATACATACAACAGAACATAAGACGCGAACAGAGCCCAGGCAAGGGAGAAACAACTAAAAATTAAGATTCACAAGTCATATTTGGATGTATTCAACCCGGCCCTTATATACACACGACCCTGTCATATGCAAACTTTATACCAGTGCACACAAATTAGTGAATGTGTAAATATATAGTGTAACGAATAATTTATCTCATAAGAACAATCGATTATATCTTCCAAGTATAAATAAAAATCAATAAAAAAATCATCAGAAATATATAGTTTAATAATGTTTGTGTGCCCAGTTTTCAAATGTTGCAACTGAAATCCAATACGCTGAAACAACGAGTCAATTTAATTGTCATAAATAATGAATGATTTTACACAACAGTGTAGCTCACTTTTCTAATCCCAAAGGAGCCGAAAAGGAAATATTTTTACCCGATAAGATAAAAACACAAGAAGTATAGCCACAATCTTCATTTTCAATCCTTCCTTGCAATCGCTGTACATGTGCGTCTTAACCCTGGCTCAGACTAACTGCTGTCAGTTTATATGTATCGTGAATAACTACTCCGTGTATCTTCTCATGGAAATTACTTCCCTGTACTAAATATGTTATGGTGAAACATTTCCTGTGAAGTATGAGTGCGTATAGTTGTCCCATTTATTACTCTATATAGGCAGATGTGTGATTCACAATCACTGTTGATATTGCGTTCGATTGATATGTGTCACATGTTCCTCCGGATAGACGATGACGCACTGTAGCGACTGGGTAGTGTTATATGCAATCCTCGACATTCATTCCAGTTAAATCACGTTTACATAAAAAACGACGTTAATATTTTTTGCGTCATGGAGATATAAAGATAAAACTCGGTGAGCACACAGCGCCAATGCTGGTACGTTAACGTTATTTACGTTTATGCATGTGTCTCTATACACCCAAGTCAGTTCCTATAAATAAATAAGTCATCTTTAAATACTTCACAGTGAGCTTAATTAATCGGTATCACACACGCACGCACGCACGCACGCACAAAAGAAAAAGAAGGGAAATCAGTGACATCGTTCAGTGCAATAATGAAACCCAATCGCGCCTATTCTATTATCTGTGAATCACGAATCAGTAGTCCGCTACTGGGTTAGGCCGAACATTTTCCTGCTTTTGAGGACGGAAGGTTATGGTTAGTAAAGCCATGGAAAAATCTCTTGCAATTCATGTCACTGATAGAACTAAGGGAGCTGGGTATGGTGAATGTTTGTTTGTTTATGTGATTTTGATTTGGTAGATTATTGTGTTTTTAGATGCGTTTTATTAGTTCCGTTTTGATTATGAATACGCCTAAGGCCTTGAAGTTTTCTAGTTTATTTTGTGGGTTTAGTATTGCTTCTAGAGTGAGAGCTTTGTTCAGATTGAGGGTGGTTTGTAATGCGGTTCGATGTGTTAGGTAGTGTGTGCAGTTGATGAGTGCGTGTTCTGGGGTTTCTAGTTGTTTGCAGTTAGGGCAGTTACCTGTAGTGTGTTTTTTTTAAAAAAAATTAGGTGGTTATTTAGGTTGGTGTGTCCTGTTTGGAGTTTAGTGATTACTCTGTCGATTTTTTTTGATATTTTTGGTTTGGTTAGTGGTTTGCTGAGTACTTTTTTGATTTGGCTATTTGAGTTTAGATATAGGTAATGCCATTTTTTGGTGATTTTTAGCTTGTTTACGCTTTTAATTTCTGATTTTGAGATGGGTAAGTTTAAGCTTATTTGTGGGATTTTGAGGGATAGTTTAGCTGCTTTATCGGCATTTTCATTACCGTATATTCCTACGTGGGCGGGTATCCACAAAAAGGTTATTTGTTTGCCTGCCTTAGTTAGGTCGTTGGAGCTTTTAAGTATTTGATTTATTAATTTAGGTCGGTTTTTGGTATTTTTGTTTTGGAGGGCTTGCAGTCCACTTAGGGAGTCGGTAAGTATTAGGATTTTTTTTGTGGTTTTTGGATTCTTGATTATAGAGGGCTGAGGCAATGCGTGAACCCGTAACACGTATCTATACCTACGGAAAAGTAACCGTGCTTCATAAAAGTTGCGTTCGTGTAAATGTAATGCTATTGAAAATAACAACATACGGTTTGATCATTTGTCAGATCAATGTGTTATCAAAACAGATTCATTGACAAAAACTTAGCTGGACGAAGGGGCCAGAAGCCACAATACTCCTTTCCACCAATAACAACTGGCGACAAAGAAAACTACAAGAAGCCATTGACATCAGGAGACACCAGCCAGCCATGAACCGTGACCAGGGAACCTTTTGCGTTGTGCTTGGGACTTATGGCTTTCATTTAATTGTCTGTGCTAATTATTCAGCTGGCTTCCATTTGTCCATTGCTATTTTACATTGCTGTTGGCTTTCTTTGATCAAATGTAGTATCTGATATTATCAGTAGTCATTGCTGAAGGAAACATTAGAAAAATGTCAAGGCAAGAACCAATATAGGATGGTTTGATAAGGAAGGCCAAGGACAAAGACGAAACAGTGTGTAATTGTAAGTTGCTATTTTACATTGCTTTTGGCTATCAGTTCTAATTACCCCCTGCCTTCCTTTTGCCGTGAAGATTCCGGGGTAGAATAGGTCTTCAGCAACCCATGCTTGCTGTAAAAGGCGACTATGCTTGTCGTAAAAGGCGACTAACGGGATTGGGTGGTCAGGCTCGCTGACTTGGTTGATGCATGTCATCGGTCCAAATTTTGTGGATAGATGCTCATGATATTAATCACTGGATTGTCTGGTCCAAACTCGATTATTTACAGACCGCTGTCATATAGCTGGAATATTGCTGAGTGCGGCGTTAAACAACAAACCAACCAAACCTTTTGCCCATTGCTTTTTACAATCAGTGATAATTTGACTCCTGGCTAATCCATTGCTAATCACCTATCAGCGCTAATTAACTGTTGGCTTTCCACCTTTGTTATCTCTTTACTTTTGTTGTTCTAACAGGTACATAAATATGCTCTCGGCTTCCTAGCATTCATTCACTTGACGAAGTATTTACTCCGAAACGTGGTGTTCCTCATAAGAAAGAAGTTGACATGCATAAACTCTCGTCCTTACCTGGTGTTGTTATAAGTCTCAAACAGGCAATTATGAAAACAAACAAAGTCTCATTCTTATTCATATGAACATATCTGATAACGTATTTTTAAGGTTAACTTCTTAAATTATGCATATTCTGTGGGACAAAGATTTGAGCAAATTATTAAGAATGACTGTCATACATTAGCCCATTATTATCATTGCTGAGAGGGGCTGTCGGGTAGCCTAGTGGTTAAAGCGTTCGCTCGTCACGCCGAAGACCCGGGTTCGATTACCGACATGGGTACAATGTGTGAAGCCCGTTTCTGGTGACCCCCGCCGTGATATTGCTGGAATATTGCTAAAAACGTCGTAAAACCATACTCACTCACTCATTGCTGAGATGTTATTAAGGGTTGCGTGAAAACGTTTTTTTAGAAATGGTTTCACTTGATTTGACTGGTCAGTGTAGAGGTTTGAGTGACGAAATACGGTCATTTAGACTGAGATGACATTTTGAAGAAAATTGTAGGCGGTATTGGGTAATACTATCAAATATCAGAAAATCGTTACTTTCAAACCAGGATGTTAGATATATGCACACAAAGTCATATCCTCGTGCATGCTATCTAGCTAGTCATGTATGACGCATCTCTTTGGGGGACATTGCAATATATATCTTAAATGTATTCCCATGATCTCCCATTTTCACACGGAACGGGGATAAATACGTGCTATCAGTGAAAGGTAATACACATATCCTAGTCCGTGGCAACACATCAGTCTACCATACACCAATCATGTATGTGAACATATCGTGATGCAGTTGAAACATACGTCTCTTCAAGAAAGTGTAGACACAAGGTAGTCCTCGCTGAGAGTAAGTGACAGAACAGAAACTCGAAACATTTGTATCAAAATTTTAATAAAACTGTTAATTCTGAACTGTTTGACTATTCTAGTTTCAATACCGCTCATCAGCTTATTATCGCCGTTTATTGCAATGTTTTTAAAAAAAGAAAGAAATCAGCTTATCTGCAATGCCACTCAAAGAGGAAAATTACCCGGTTAAATGTTATCATGATGAGGTGTATGCTTATGGTATCTCATTAAACAGGTAAATATTTCTGCATCTACGTTGATTTGTCCTCATGTTTAATTATATCCAGGGCGGCGACAGGGTGGCTTGCTGGCCGGACGTTAAATTACACTTTATTCTAGCACAGCGACTTAAAAAATGACTTCAATATATTATGCGTTTATGGAGGTAAAACGTAAAAAACCAATGTGCAAACTTTAAATGTTCAAAGTGCGCACACCAGGTTTTTTTTCTATTCAAACTCCATAAACGCCAAAAAAAGACAATAATCACTTCACAGACTGTTGATTTAATGATTAACACAAAGAATAACTAAAGACAAGAGAATACGAAATCAATGACACCGTTCAGCGGAAAAACGCAAGCCCCGCCCATTATATTTTTAGCCAATCAAGAAACAACAATCCGTTAGCGGACGTGGCCTAGAAACATAAATGAAAACTAAATTGCTTTTTTAGTTACTCAAATGCCCCTGAATCACTAAGTCTTGCAATTCATTTATATCCAGTTAATTAGAAGTTTCATTACTATCTAGCCGAGAACTTCGACATTCGAA